GATCAAGACTGTTCTGAAACGTCTCCGGCAGGTTTTAAAGCTGCTTTCATCCATATTTTTACACAAACAGTGAATTCAGCATCGATAGTAATGATCAGAACGGCAGTTTTGCTCATTTATGGCTCATTTTTTTCGTCTCTTTTGTGTTTTTCTGGTCATTTTGCACGTCGTTTTATTTGTTTTGTGCCTCACGTTGGTCAGTTTGAACGTCAGAGTCCTTGTGTTTTTCTTCACGGCTTTAAAACATCAGATTTTGTAGGTTTTCGTCTCTTTGTGCTCGTTTTGCGTCTCGTTCTTGTCGCTTTGCGGTCGACTTTGTGCAGCAGACAGACACAGTTTGAGGATGAAGAACTGGGTTTGTTGGTGCTGATCTTGGTTCTCCTTCCAGCTTCGTTTAAGACGTTTCTCGGTGTAGAACCTCTCCTGTTTTCGTCCACTGAACCTTGAAACCACTCCATGTGTCCTTAGAGGCTGTAAATGTGTTTCGATGGACTCCAGCGGCTCTGATCACATTAACCAGTAACTGACTGGAGAACTGCTGCATCAGCTGGTCTCTCTTCACGGTGCCACATCGTTTTAGAACCATTTTCTACAATTTCAAGGCATGTATTTAATTTTGGACACAATATTTTAAATAAAAAAACGAAAAAACAACACGTAGAAACGGCTAAAATACATCTTTAACATCTCCAACATGACGTCTTGTCTTTTTTTAAATCTCATTTCTAGCCTGAAGAAACCTGTTGCCCACATAGAAATTCATTATAAATCAACATTTGGCAGCAACTGAGACGTTCTTGTGTTGAAATGACAGATTTAACGGCGTCATATATCTTCTAAGTGTTACCAGGTTGGTTTTACTGGCCGTGATGTGCAGCTGCAGGTTTGTTCAACACGTGTTCAGGAGTCACTTTGTGTTGCTGCAGTTTTTTTCGTATTGCACCATTTGACAACATGTGTCCTCTCAGAGCGCCTCACCTTGTGAATTTTAAACAGAGAACCCGACAAGCCTTTGGGTTCCCTTTGAGCAAGCAGGCAGTTGCAGGTATCTGAGGTTTAAAATGTGATTTCTCTGCTGTTTTAAGCTTTACGGTGACTTGATGTGCAGGAATTAGAATTAGTTTTTGTAGGTTTGCGTCACTGTGGTCACTTTGCATGAAGGTGTTGAAAACCCTCCGACCGGCTCCGATGTGTTTGATATGCAGCTGATTTCATCTGCTGCTCTGAAGAGACTCTTCTGAGATCATTTATGGGGCAGAACATCACAGATTTGTTTCCTTTCGGTCCGTCGTTGTGGAATTTTTGAGCCTCAAACTGTTTCTGGAATGAAGGAGTTCAGGTGAAATGTGTTCTGGATGAACCCGATAACGTTCTGCAGAAGTTTAGAGATCCGGTCAGACATAAAGAACCGTGTCCAGCTCTGAGGAGAACCAGGAGTCCAGCAGCAGAAGTTCTGAACCTCACAGAGCTCAGATCCAGCATCATGGAGTCAGAAGAACTGTGGCAGGTTCTCCAAGAGGCTCCACAAACGGTCCAGAACCAGTC